TTAACCCTCACCAGAGGACATTTTTGCATCCATGTTCAGATAGAGCAAGAGGGACAGAGGGAGGAAGAGAAAGAGAGAAACATCGATGCGGAAGAGACACATCGACTGGCTGCCATGCACATGACCCCAACCGGTCCAGGGATAAACTGCAACCAAGGTTTGTGTCCCTAGCGGGAACTGAACCCGGGTCTCTCTGGACCACGGGCCGACGCTCTAACCGCTGAGTCGAAGCAGCCAGGGCTCCCCCTAGGATTTATAGTCCCCAGCTGGCACCATACATAATTATTTCAATAATATTGCCTATATTCCCTATGCTGTACTTTACATCTCCATGACTTTTTTTGCAACTGCCAATTTGTACTTCTTAATCCCTTCAGCATTTTCACCCAGTCCTCCAACCGCCTTGCCTCTGGCATTCGTCTTTTTCAAAATATATTTTTATTGATTTTTTTAGAGAGTGAGGAAGGGGCGGGAGAAAGAGAAATCGATGTGAGAGAGAAACATCAATTGGCTGCCTCCTGCACACCTCCTACTGGGGATCGAACCTCAAACCTGGGCATGTGCCCTGACCAGGAATTGAACCCGATCTCTCATCCATGGGACAACACTCAATCCACTGAGCAACACCGGCTGGGTTGGCATCCAACTTCTTCTGCTCTGTGTCTCTGAGTCTGTTTCAGTTTTATTTGTTCATTTATATTGTTCTTTAGATTTCACGTATCAATGAAATCATGGGGTTCTTGTCTTTCTGTAACTGACGTAGTTCACTTAGCCTAATACCCTCTGTGTCCATACATGCTGTCGCAAATGGTAATATTTCATCTGATTTTATGTCTGAGTAATATTCTACAGCATATTGGTACCACTATTTTTTTATCCACTCATCTACTGAAGGGCACTGGGATTAAAGCAACCATGTTCTTGGCCTCAGTAACCCAGTATTATCCTCTCTTTGAGAGACTCCCAAAGCCCTCATTGTGGGAACAGCAGGTGATGCATTGAAAAACCCTACATTATCAGTCAGGGTGATAACAGGTCCCATAGTCTCAGAGATTCCAGTTCTCTTTATACTCATAATTTCCAAATAACCTGTATTTAGCCTCCAAATCCATTCATATTAGCAGTCTTCATTTCATTTCTTTTTTTAAAATTTTGTTTCCTCTATTGATATTTTAGAGAGAGAGGAAGTGAGAGGGAGAGATAGAAATGTCAATGACAGAGAACATCAATTGGCCGCCTCCTGCATGTTCCCCACTGGAGATTGGACCCACAACCTGGGCATGTGTCCTGACCCGGAATTGAACCGGCGACCTCTTGGTGCATGGGTCGACGCTCAACCACTGAGCCACACCGGCCAGACTTCATTTCCTTTCAACAAAGAAAAACTCCAAATCCCTGTGACTCTATAAGCAAAGCATATGAACCTTCTGCTCCATTGTATCCTGAACAGGGCTCAGGGCAGACAGTGCCCACAGGATGCTCACATCTGGATCCTGCACGATTCACTCCCGCTGGCCCTTGTTCAGATCCCCCTGGCTGATGACCTTTATTTACTGTCCCAGCTGCCTCCCAACACCCACCCTCCACTCACATTGTCTCATAAGGAACAACTATTTTGCTTCCCCTAGGTCTCATGGCCGAACCCCCACATTTCATGCGTCCTAAGAATCGGAACAAAAAATCACTTGAGCATGTTTCTGGTGAAGTTTGGAACTCTGGTAATCAAGGTGAGTCCCAGGACGGGCCAGGAAAGTGTCTTTGAAGCTCACTTTCTTTGGGGGCCACCAGCTCAGACAAGATACTCACAGGTTTCTTACCTAAACGAATCACTGCTGAGTGAAGAAAGGTGGATGCAAAAGTTTAAGTACAGTCCGTGGCCATTTGCATCAAATCCAAAACATGCAAAATAACAATGTATGTTTTGTAGACAATAAGTCAATGGTAAATATATCAACACCTGAATGAGAATTAAACTCAATAAATCCAGGAGTGGGAAAGAGGAGGAGGGGGCAGGGATTCTGCACGGACGGTGTCAGCTGTGACTTGTGCAGAGTGTTGATATATTTTGAGTAAAGGAGCTCAGAGCGATCTGACTCAGTAGTGTAACAATGCTCCGAACTGACGAGCCCCAGTGGCAGATGGGCACATGTTCCTCGTAATGCCCTGCATAATTTTCTTGAGTTTGAAACTATTTTTTCTGAAAGAAAATACTTTATTTATTTTTTTATTGTTGAAAGTATTACAGTAGTCCCCCGTTTTCCCCTTTAAGGAGTTAATGTTGCTCAACACCCTCACAAACCAGATAAAATTTAAGAAAAATTTGAATACAGTCTAAATCCTCCAAAATATCCTTACTCACTTTCAGAATAACAACTAGGTAGGTTAAGATAAACATCTTAAGAGACAAAATAATTAAGGTATTTTGTATGACATTCACCTATTTTCCTGAGCTTTACCAGACAGAACGGTCATGACATGGCTAATTTAACCTGATCTATACATTGATTTTGGGAGAGGATTCCAGATCGCAGTCACACACACGCGCGCGCACACACACACACACACACACACTGAGTCTTTCTAGGTCACAGTGAGAGAAGGCCACATGGGATGAAAGGAGCCACAGATTGAAGAAATCTCTGTGCATGGGAGCAGTGTGTTTACTCAGCATAAAACAGACAGATGTGTTCACTTGCTTTCTTGCGCTGACAGCACAGTTAAAAGAAGACTCCGAGTACTCATACTGTCTCCAACAGACCTATGTCTCACGGCTCCACGGGCCATATTCTACAAGTACCCAAAATCAATACCACAGAAGGGGCTAAAAATCCAGTGCAAAGTTTTTGACATTTGAGGAGTGACTTGATCCTGGACAACTTCCAGAACCACTGTACTAAATCATCCCAGCCTCGTGACACACTTAACAACTTCATTGAGGTATAATTAACTATTATAAAATTCACCCATTTTAGTCTACAGTGATCTTTAGTTGCCACACATCTGTTAGTAGATACAGTTCAAGCTACCAAATTAATTCTTCATTCAAATCTTTGTGAAAACTTGTAAGGAATATGTCATAGAATAGGATGAGGCAGCAATGGGGTTTAGTTCACAATGTATAAACTATCACAAGAAAAGTTATGAATTTATGCAATTAATAAGTGCATAAACCATTATTAAAGATAATTCAGAAGCCTGGCTCAAAACAAACCCTTGACAGTGAGTGGATTCATACCACCTACTGCAGAATTCTGTGATACTTAGGGAGTCTCCCAGAACTTTGGGAACGTTTACCAACAAAGAACGCTGCTTTGGCACCTACTTTTCGAGGAACGTCCTCAGCAGGCTTCTACCATCCAACCTAGAAAACACCTGAAGGTATCTCCCAAATCGGAAGGACCACAGAGCCTTTTTCCCCGCACGGATGTGAATATGGTAAGAGTAGCAGAATACTGTGATAGCTGATACTTCCTTTGTGCTCATAGTGATTGATGCCAGATATTATTTTAAGCACTTCAGATGGATTAACTTATGTGCACTGTACAAAAAGTTTTCTGATTTTGTTACTATTACTATACCCAAATAATTATGGGGATATTAATAACAATAATAGCACATAATAATGATGATAATGAAGAGGTTGTGTTGCAGACATGCTAAACAATGTCGCTGAGACCACAGAGGCAGTGACAAGAGTACAGTCCAAAGACCCAGCCCATTCCCAAGCTCATTAGCATTTTCATTGGTTTCTGAAGTTCAGGTTGTCTCTGTAGGGGTTTACCCCTCAGGTGCTGCTGGCCCTTCCATTTACACACTCAGTCTCACCACAGGAGTCCCAGGTCCCTCTGCCCTGTCCCAGGGCCACTCACCATGGATGAGAAACAGCTTAGGCTGTGAGACCCTCACTGCTGTGAGGTCCTTCAGGCCATCTCTGAGCCTGAGGCAACTCTGAAGCCTCAGTCCCACCCCAGGGAGCCTCAGAAGTGCCTGAATATGCACTGCATAAGTGATTTCACAATTGCAGATTAAACTGGTTGACATGGTAAGGGGATCTGGGAGTTGGGTTGCCAGTGTGGAGACAGTTGAGAAGAGAATTTCCAGAAGGATCACAAGAGAGAGTATTCATGTTTCTTTCTTTCATGTGGAAGGACTCTATACAAGCTCAGAAACCACTTTTCCTTCCCTTGTTTTATGTATCTTGTTCTCCCTTGACTAAATGAGGGAGCCCAATGAAAAGTAATTCAAGGCTGTTGGTCTTAATACTCTCCGACATAGGCAGAGTGGATGAGGGAACCACCTCACTAAATCCACAATACGTGATGGTCCCAGGGAAGGAAAGTATGTCTAATCTGGCACCACTTTCTTGGCTGTCTACTTAATTTCTGTGTACCGCTCCTTTTGTCTCCCTTCCCCACATTCACCTCCCAATACCATATTTCAGCAGTATTTTCTCCCATCCATAAGCTTGTTTTCTAGGTGTTTTTATGTTTAATTTTTATTTTTGACACTGTTACAGATTTTGCCTATTTTCTCCCCATTTCCACCCTCTACTCAGCCCCTGCCCCAACCCAGACCTTCACCACAAAATTGTCTATACACGTTTCCCTTTAGACGCCCAGCCAGTGTCCCCTTGCTTATATGCGATCGCCTGTATTTGATGGAAGCTCTTCATTGCTTTCACAGACCTCGTGGATACTTAGAATGCTATTGTTCCACAAATCTCTATGCCACACTCCCGCTTGCATGGACACTTCTGCTGTTAGCCAGAATGAATGTCTGGTAATAGCACGAAGCTATGTGTTCTAGTCCTGGAAACACCCACTTAGGCCATTTATTTTCTTGCTAACTGAACAGGTTCCTCACATTAGAGGTACCGGCCATATAATCTCCCTGAGTTGTGAAGAATGTGCACTAACGCACTGCATGTGAAGACATTTAGTAAGTTTTAAGCACCAGAGAAATGCCTCTGATAGTGTTTATATGACCTTCGCATAAGCAAGATGCTGCCCGTGAAAGAAGTAAAGGAAGAAAATGACATGAAGCCACTAACTGTATCACCAGACTCAGAGCCAGCTCAGAAACAGCTCTGCCCACGGGGAAAAGTGAAGGACTCTAGTCACCTGAGGAAGAAGGTGCCAGGTAAGGAGAGTATTGGGGAGAACATCTCCTCAGGCTTCGCATGCGTGGGAGCTGGGTCCAGAACAGGCCTAGGTCTAGGTGGACTTTGGAGCTTGTTCACCTCCAGCTGAGAGCTGGGAACAGGACTTCCAAAGTCACAGATTGAATTGACATCTGCATAAAATTTGTATTCGTCTGTGGGCAAGTCATCCAGTTCTCTGAGCTCCAGATGTTTATCCCATAAAATGTAAATAAAGAATCAAAACTCATTAATTGTTTGAAGACATTAAAAAAAATCTATGACTGGACAGGAAGTTGCTCAAGTAATTCTACATGTGTAACCTGGAAACATGATTTACCGGGGTCGTATCCACAGCCCTCCGCTCAATGCCTGACACACACTATGTCCTTGACAATATACAGTCAAACCTCGGTTCTACAACATCTCCCATCTCAAACAATTCCTTTGTGGACCAATTTGTCCATGGAAATAATGTCTGGGATGTTGAACAAAAACTTCAGGCCCCTACCTGATACATCAGCATGACAAAAAGCATCTCTCAGGCCACAAACAAAGGAGAGAATGCTAGTCAGTTTACCACTAAACCTCCCTTGTTACCATCTCAGGAAATAGTACTGTATGTTTGTCTTTTTTGATGACCACATGGATGATTACCATGATTTTAAAACCTAGGAGGCCATCAGTACTGCTAATGTAGCGAAGGGGGTGAAAGAAGCAATGATCACAGGCAATAGAGAGGTAGAAAAACTTATTTTTTTATCCTCACCCAAGGATGTTTTTTTTAAATTTATCTTCAGATAGAGCAGGAGGGAGAGAGGGAACAAGAGAGAGAGAGAGAAACATCAATGTGAGAGTCACATCAAGTAATTGCCACCCATACGACCCCAACAGGGGCCGAGGATAAACGCAACCGAGGTACATGCCTTTAACGGGAAACGAGACCAGAACTCTCTGGTCCGCAGGCCAACACTAACCGCTGAACCACACTGGCCAGGTCAGAAAACCTTACTGATTTGCATAAAGTTAGGCAGTGACAGCATATCAGATGCAGCGATATGTGAAAAAGCAAAGATACCGCATGCTGACCTCCTGAAACACACCCATGGAACAAGTGGTAAAAGTGATTCATTTAAGGCTAGTAGGGGGTGGTTCGATGAATTTAAGAAAAGCAGTGTTGCATATAGTTGTAAAAGTACATTTGACATACACAGTGTATAGGGAAGGTGAAAACCAGAAATGATGTTGCGGTCTGGAAGAAATAAATTCAATTTACATTTTTTCTAATGAGAAAAATGATTCGGTTTTTGAACAAATAGTTTCTGGAGCAGTTGTCTGGAACAAATTCAATTCGAAAACCGAGGTTCCACTGTATGCTGAAAGGTGTAAATGAATGTTCTGGTAAGTATAGTATTTGGGAATCTAAACCTGACAGTGGAAGGACCCAGGAGCTAAATTCGAACTGGCATTTGTTGTGCACTGGTGTGGACCTACCATCTCAGTCTCTCTGAGCTGGAGGATGTGGACAACAGACTATGTAGAAGCCTTGTGGGCACTTGGAGGGAGGAAACATCTCTTTACCTGACAAAACGAGATTCGGCTCTCCAAGGCCCCATCTCCATTAAGCAATGCATGTCTACCACAGGATCCAGGAAATGGAAGACTAATGTCTGGGTCCACAGGCTGAGGGAAAGAAAGAACTATGTTGTGTATGAAGAGATCAGTGACCGCGAGGAGGAAGATGACTAACTATGTGAGTGACCCTTCATTCCAGCCCTCACCCCTGTAAAACACACTGCTCTTATGATACTGGTGTCTCTTCTTGTCATTCTTTCCCCAAATCTTTATTTTTCTGAGAGCCTTGGAGTGCTGCGTTGAGATTAAGTGATGAAACTTCCCTCATTCTTTCTACTCCCTGCTCTGTGTAGCCAGGGATCAACCTACCCAGGATGCCATGGGCTCCCCATCCCTGCCTGGTCTGCTCCCCTACTGTAGGCCACAACTTCCTCTAGCCTAGGAACTCACAGAGCAGGTGAGAGTTCCTGTGACAAGAGCAGGAGATGAGATTTGAGGAGCAGTGGCAGGAGCACACACATCATGAGGTGGAGCACACTCGGAGCGCTCGGGGTCCTGCAGGTCAGGATGAGGGAATAGGTATCAATGGATCAGGAATGGCAGCTCACTGACACTTATTTTCCTTCTCTCTCTTTGCCTCCACCTCAGGGATTTGACAGGTACCCATGATAAGAAGCAGAACTTGGTGGACCCTCAAGAACATGGACAAGGATGTGAACTGCCCATCAGGTGTACAGCACATGACTACGAGTTTACAACGGTGAAAAGTTCAGCGTTATTTTTCCCCAAATGTGCCAATAATTCTGTTAGATGTTAGAGTCCCTTGGTGAGCAACACCTATACCTAATACAAGTTTCTGTCTATGTTTTCATGCACTTCGGTCAGGGAACAAGCATTGTCAGCTATCTCTGCACAGAAGAGCACTACCCTCCCCTGACCAGATGTAACCACAAAGGGAATTCCGAGGGGTTGATTCTGGATGTTTTTTTTCTATTTGTGTACACACACACACTAGGAGTGTGACGATGGGCATCTCCCACCAGCTCTCTGCACTAACAGAGTGTCGTGGGCATGTTCCTTTTATTCTCTTTCTTGTTCAGCCGCTGTTCTGTGTTGCAAACCCCCATTATTCATTTGCCCTGCGTTTATCACTGCCAGTTAATAAACACTGAAAGTTGTTTCCTAGTTGTTTGTTCCTCTCCTTCTTCTGCACATACCCTGTGCACCGGTTTGAGTGGTTCATTTACACACATACTTAGAAGTGAAACTGCTACATCAAAGGTTTCGTTCAGCCCTGGCCGGTTTGGCTCAGTGGTTAGAGTGTCACCCTGCGGACCAGAGAGTCCCAGTTTTGGTTTCTGCTAAGGTCACGTACCTCATTTGCGGTTTGTCTCCAGTCCTGCTTGCGGTTGTGTGGGTGGCAGCCACTCGATGTGTCCCTTTCACATCGATATTTCACTCTCTGTCTTCCTCCTTCTGTACATTTTGCTCTATCTGAAGATAAATGGAAAAATGTCCTTGGATGAGGACTTTAAAAAAAAAAGGTTTCATTCACTCAACAAACACCTAATGGGCCTGTGCTGGGTACTGAACGCTGCCCTGGTGCTGAGAAGACCTGAGGGAAAAAACAACAACAACAAATATCTTTGCCTTCGTGGTGTTGGCATTCTACTGGGGGATATATCTAAATTTTACTTCGTGGACTCTATAGACAACAATGCAGAGACTGGTTTCTGCTTTAGTTGGACACTTTGCCTTTAATCTCTGTCAGATCTTGAGGGTCAGGGGCTGGCATAGTGCAATGTGGAGTATGTGCCAGGAGACGAAGGTGCTCTGGATTCTTCTATAGATCTCAGAGTAGAAGATGTAGAATCACTTTCCAAGACTGGCAATCCCCAGAGAAGGAATTTTCAGGGATGGAGAGACAGTGTCCTGGTGATAGTGCGGGCGGGCGAGGGCACTGATGCACTGGATGTGTGGAAGAGGGGCTGGCATAGAGGCACGGGAGACCCAGGGCCCATTGTGGACTATCAAGCCACCAAAGGGAGAGGGGTCGTGAAGGAAAGTGTCAAGGGGCAACTCCTGCAAGGGTGGAGTTCACCCAGAAATAGGGGCACACTCTGTCTGGCACATTAGTGAAACGGAAATGAAGGATCTGTTCTATCTGTGCCTCAGCAGAAACAAATTCACTTTTACCCCAATATACTTCTGCGTTCCTCAAATTTAGTATTCTAATAATAGTCATCGTGTGCATCATCCTCCGTGCAAATCTAGCAGAGTATGCCCAAAACTGACCCTGAGAGTTTAAAATTTTCTTCCTCTCTTGGAAGATGGGACCCACTGACTGGATACCCAGCAAGGGAGACAGGTGCAGGAAAGGACAACTTGAAAACACTTTGCAGTCATGACAGGGAACGTTTTTCTTTAGGCTCCGTGGGTAGATCAGCTTCCCTACTCCCACTCCTCTGTGACAGATAGGATTTTCAGATGCAGAGCTACAGAAGTTTTTCCCAGCTCCAGAAATCAACCTGTAACTGGCAGTGAGCACACCCGTAATTACCCCTCTAAGCTCACTAAGCCTGGGGCCCCGTGTGGATGCCTGTGCCCTTCTAATGAGGGTCCTAAATGACTATTTAAATATTCCTGTCTGTTTTGTTTGCCTTTTAGACTGGATCAGTACCTAATCACCATTCCTAGTGGAGAATTGGGAAATGCAGGAATGTGTGAGAAACAACAATAAATGCATCACAAGAGGAGACTTCTAAGCATTATTCAGCAAGACCCACAATAAACACATATTTTTATTTATTCATTTTTATTCCTCACCCTAGGATATTTTTCCATTTATCATCACACAGAGTGGAAGGGAGAGAGAGAGAGAAAGACAGAGAGAAACATCTATGTGATAGAGCTCCATCAACTGGTTGCTTTTCACAAGACCTGACAAGGGCCAAGGATGAACTGCAACAGAGGTACGTGCCCTTGATCAGAATAGCACCTGCGGCTCACTGGTGCACAAGCTGACTCTCTATCCACTGCACCAAATCGGCCAGGGCTAAACAACATATTTTATTTTTATTTATTTTTATTTTTTTAATTAATTAATTTGTTTTTGTTACCGATGTTTCTCCTTTTCCCCCCACTGATTTCGCCCTCTCCCCCCTCCCCATCCTGTCCCCACCTTTGTTGTCCATGTCCATTGTTCATACATACATGCATATAAGTTCTGTGGTTTATCTCTCTCCCGCACCCCCTCTTCTGGGGATTGTCTGTCTGTACCCCACTTCCACGTCTCTGGGACCACCTCGTTCCTCAGACTGTTATGTTCATTCTATGCCACAAATAAGTGAGATCATGTGATATTTGTCGTTCTCTGCTTGGCTTGTTTCACGTAGGATAATACTTTAAAGGTCCCTCCATGTAGTCTCAAAGGATAAGAGATCTTTCTTTCTTACAGCTGCATAGTACTCCATTGTGTATATATATCACAGCTTTTTTATCCATTCGTCTACTGATGAACATTTGGGCTATTTCCAGATCTTAGCTATTGTAAATAGTGCTGCTATGAACATGAGGGTACACATAATCTTTCTGATTGGTGTTTCAGGATTCTTAGGGTATATTCCTAGAAGTGGGATCACTGGGTCAAATGGAAGTTCAATTTTTAATTTATTGAAGTAACACCATATAAGCAAAACATTTTAGAGTAACTTTAATTGAAATGCTTTCGGAAATCATGCTGATACACACGATACATGTGATACACACTGATATGTTCTATTCTGTTGAATGATGTGTTCTGTTCTTCCACTGTAATTCATTAGAGACATGAAGTTCTGCTCAGGTTAAATAAAACATTTTCTTGGCCTGTTCATTAATCAAAACCTGCAGCTTGGAAAGCCCTTCTTCATGGTCTCAGTGTGTGTCCCGCAGGTGAACCCCTGCTCTGAGTCCTGTAGAGAAGGTTCAAGGAATCCTCAGGATGCATTCCGGGGCCTGGGTCTCCTGGAAGGTAATGATTTTCTGTAAACTCAGGGGCATGCACGCTGGACAACCCGGTGTACAGGTATCACAGAAAACTACTGTTCCCGCTGGAGGGAGCTCCCAGTCTGGCTGGCCATTGTGGGTGCCTGCAAGGGCACCTTGTCATTTCAAATGTCTGTATTTGGAGCAGGCTCTGGGGGCAGGGTAGGCTGCACATGAATTATTTGGCAACACACTTATCCTGCCAGAGTGATCTGCAGCAGGGCGCCTGGAGGCAGTGCAGCAGAACTACAGGTGAGTCTGAGCAGCTGGCCAGAGCTCCCTCCAGCACTATCCAGTTGAGGGGGTCATAACCAATGGTCCTTCCAAGTTTTTTTGGTCCCAGAGGGCTCCATCAAAAACCCAGAGAGCTCTTGAGGTTTCACAAACTTCTCTATGCCATCTCTCACTTGCTTGTTTTACAGAAGCCATTCAAGTGGCACAAAGTTATCTTTCAGCGGAACTGCCCTAAATCGAGGGATATATTTACTTTCTTTGTGAGAGGCAACAAGGTCAGCATCCTGCTATACCTCCTTTACCTCCTTGCTGGACCACCAGGAACACAATCCCATTTTTAATAATGTTATATCATCAGAAACATTACAACATTAATCTGAAAGTAACAGAGCCAGGATACAAAGCAGGAAGGTTTTCAGCTTCCCAAAATGGAACAGGTGTGGAGAAGACTGAGAAAACTAAATTGCAAACATGTGACACCCTTCAAGAGCAAGGAAGCATGACCTTGAGGGCAGAGCTGTAGACCCACAGAACAGAGATCATGGAGACGCAGACTATTCCCAGTCCTTGAAAGGAAATAAAATTTGCCCACCTAGATTTTAGCAATGTATGTAAGCAATGACCCTTCCTTCTATGTTATCTTATTTAAAACGAGAATGTATATAACTGCTGTCCCATGAATGTCCCTCCAACATATTGTGGGGTCAAATAACTTGTTTTCCTGTGACCCAGTGCCAAGAGGAATTGTGCCCAGGGTGGACACAATTATCTGAGTCCCACCATTATCTGTTTTATATGATGGGAGTAGGTACTATTCGGCTGATGATATTTCGATGAGATTCTGGAATTGAGATGATACTGCAAAGGATTCAGAAATTTGGGGAAATTGAGGTTGAACTGCATACATTTTACAT